CCGTGCCCCGCAAACTCTCCGGTTCTCTCCAACAATTCCAACGTTCTACAAACTCATTTGTATTTTTTTTTTTGTATTTGTTTTTAGCAAAATTTATTTGTAAATGGTAGAAAATTGTAATAAAATACTATTTACCGAAACCTGCGTCCTGACTGAATGGTGGGGGAGGGGGCGATTCACATTATTGTTACCCTGCAATACCGAGCCCAAACATTCCCACCCGGGTCTGTGCCTATAATGAGGGGCTCCCACCATCCCTGTGCTGAGTTCCCGGGTCTGTACCCCCGCTGTGCCCATTATGAGGGGCCCCCACCATCCCTGTGCTGAGTTCCCGGGTCTGTACCCCCGCTGTGCCCATTATGAGGGGCCCCCACCATCCCTGTGCTGAGTTCCCGGGTCTGTACCCCCGCTGTGCCCATTATGAGGGGCCCCCACCATCCCTGTGCTGAGTTCCCGGGTCTGTACCCCCGCTGTGCCCATTATGAGGGGCCCCCACCATCCCTGTGCTGAGTTCCCGGGTCTGTACCCCCGCTGTGCCCATTATGAGGGGCCCCCACCATCCCTGTGCTGAGTTCCCGGGTCTGTACCCCCGCTGTGCCCATTATGAGGGGCCCCCACCATCCCTGTGCTGAGTTCCCGGGTCTGTACCCCCGCTGTGCCCATTATGAGGGGCCCCCACCATCCCTGTGCTGAGTTCCCGGGTCTGTACCCCCGCTGTGCCCATTATGAGGGGCCCCCACCATCCCTGTGCTGAGTTCCCGGGTCTGTACCCCCGCTGTGCCCATTATGAGGGGCCCCCACCATCCCTGTGCTGAGTTCCCGGGTCTGTACCCCCGCTGTGCCCATTATGAGGGGCCCCCACCATCCCTGTGCTGAGTTCCCGGGTCTGTACCCCCGCTGTGCCCATTATGAGGGGCCCCCACCATCCCTGTGCTGAGTTCCCGGGTCTGTACCCCCGCTGTGCCCATTATGAGGGGCCCCCACCATCCCTGTGCTGAGTTCCCGGGTCTGTACCCCCGCTGTGCCCATTATGAGGGGCCCCCACCATCCCTGTGCTGAGTTCCCGGGTCTGTACCCCCGCTGTGCCCATTATGAGGGGCCCCCACCATCCCTGTGCTGAGTTCCCGGGTCTGTACCCCCGCTGTGCCCATTATGAGGGGCCCCCACCATCCCTGTGCTGAGTTCCCGGGTCTGTACCCCCGCTGTGCCCATTATGAGGGGCCCCCACCATCCCTGTGCTGAGTTCCCGGGTCTGTACCCCCGCTGTGCCCATTATGAGGGGCCCCCACCATCCCTGTGCTGAGTTCCCGGGTCTGTACCCCCGCTGTGCCCATTATGAGGGGCCCCCACCATCCCTGTGCTGAGTTCCCGGGTCTGTACCCCCGCTGTGCCCATTATGAGGGGCCCCCACCATCCCTGTGCTGAGTTCCCGGGTCTGTACCCCCGCTGTGCCCATTATGAGGGGCCCCCACCATCCCTGTGCTGAGTTCCCGGGTCTGTACCCCCGCTGTGCCCATTATGAGGGGCCCCCACCATCCCTGTGCTGAGTTCCCGGGTCTGTACCCCCGCTGTGCCCATTATGAGGGGCCCCCACCATCCCTGTGCTGAGTTCCCGGGTCTGTACCCCCGCTGTGCCCATTATGAGGGGCCCCCACCATCCCTGTGCTGAGTTCCCGGGTCTGTACCCCCGCTGTGCCCATTATGAGGGGCCCCCACCATCCCTGTGCTGAGTTCCTGGCTCCGCCCACCTGCTGTGCCCATTATGAGGGTTCATTTTATCTTACAATGTAACAATAATAATATTTGAGTGCGGACAGGAAGCGGTTCATAGAACATAATTCGGAGGGGGAGCCGGCCTGGGTGACGTCACTCGGAGGCCTTTGATCAGAAACATATTCTCAGCTTACAAATCTCGGGGGAAGGGAAGAAAGAAAAGCGGCGCAACCCCGAGATCAACAGGAAGTAACTGCAGAGTCCTGATATCATTTAGGATTAGGAAGGATTGAAGGGATTAAGGGAGGAAGGTTTGGAGGGAGGGAGAGAGGAAGCAATGGATGGATAAATGAAGGGAGGATGGATTGAAGGGAGCGAGGAATGAAGGGAGGAAGGAAGGAAGGAAGGATTGAAGGGAGGAAGGATTGAAGAGAGGGAGGAAGGAAGGGATGGAGGATTGAAGGGAGGAAGGATTGATGGAATGAATGGAGGGAGGAAGGAATGAAGGGAGGAAGGATTGAAGGAAGGAATGGAGGGATGGAGGATTGAAGGGAGGAAGGATTGAAGGAATGAATGGAGGATTGAAGGGAGGAAGGGTTGAAGGAATGAATGGAGGAAGGAATGGAGGATTGAAGGGAGGAAGGGTTGAAGGAATGAATGGAGGGAGGAAGGGTTGAAGGAATGAATGGAGGAAGGAATGGAGGATTGAAGGGAGGAAGGGTTGAAGGAATGAATGGAGGGAGGAAGGGTTGAAGGAATGAATGGAGGGAGGAAGGATTGAAGGAATGAATGGAGGGTGGAGGATTGAAGGGAGGAAGGATTGAAGGAATGAATGGAAGGATGGAGGATTGAAGGGAGGAAGGGTTGAAGGAATGAATGGAGGGAGGAAGGAATGGAGGGATGGAGGATTGAAGGGAGGAAGGGTTGAAGGAATGAATGGAGGGAGGAAGGGTTGAAGGAATGGAGGATTGAAGGAAGGAATGGAGGGAGGAAGGAAGCAACAGAAGGAGGAAGGAATGGAGGAGGAAGGAATGAAGAATCCTCCATCTTTCCCCGGACATGGAAGAGGTATCACTGTACATGTCGCAGTCACAGGGTGAGGAATGAGCCGTGTACAATGACATATGATGATGGGGTATACGCCGTATACTGTCTGTATATAGAACAATAGACAAGCTGAGCTCTGAGGTCACACCTCATTATCTGACATCATTGGGTGTTACATTGAAATCTTCATACACAATGCTGGAAACAATCACACGTATCAGACACATACACATGTACATGACTAGGTATATACAGCACATGTTAGTGATGCACCTTGGCGTGTCTTCTTGATATGTACATGACTAGGTATCACACATAGGAAATATTTTACAATCAAAAAAGAAAACCGGATCCGTCATTTCTAATTGTCTGTTTTTTGGCTCATTTGTTGCGGATTTTCTGCCTTTGTATGTGCCAAGAAAACAATCCCTTCCCGCCATTCTCCCCGTGGCCAGGTCATGTGATTCCGGTGCCATGGCATGGGCCTGGTCATGTGATTCCGGTGCCATGGCATGGGTCAGGTCATGTGATTCCGGTGCCATGGCATGGGTCAGGTCATGTGATTCCGGTGCCATGGAGAGGAAGGGTTGAAGGAATGAATGGAGGGAGGAAGGGTTGAAGGAATGAATGGAGGAAGGAATGGAGGATTGAAGGGAGGAAGGGTTGAAGGAATGAATGGAGGGAGGAAGGGTTGAAGGAATGAATGGAGGGAGGAATGGAGGATTGAAGGGAGGAAGGGTTGAAGGAATGAATGGAGGGAGGAAGGGTTGAAGGAATGAATGGAGGGAGGAAGGATTGAAGGAATGAATGGAGGGTGGAGGATTGAAGGGAGGAAGGATTGAAGGAATGAATGGAAGGATGGAGGATTGAAGGGAGGAAGGGTTGAAGGAATGAATGGAGGGAGGAAGGAATGGAGGGATGGAGGATTGAAGGGAGGAAGGGTTGAAGGAATGAATGGAGGGAGGAAGGGTTGAAGGAATGGAGGATTGAAGGAAGGAATGGAGGGAGGAAGGAAGCAACAGAAGGAGGAAGGAATGGAGGAGGAAGGAATGAAGAATCCTCCATCTTTCCCCGGACATGGAAGAGGTATCACTGTACATGTCGCAGTCACAGGGTGAGGAATGAGCCGTGTACAATGACATATGATGATGGGGTATACGCCGTATACTGTCTGTATATAGAACAATAGACAAGCTGAGCTCTGAGGTCACACCTCATTATCTGACATCATTGGGTGTTACATTGAAATCTTCATACACAATGCTGGAAACAATCACACGTATCAGACACATACACATGTACATGACTAGGTATATACAGCACATGTTAGTGATGCACCTTGGCGTGTCTTCTTGATATGTACATGACTAGGTATCACACATAGGAAATATTTTACAATCAAAAAAGAAAACCGGATCCGTCATTTCTAATTGTCTGTTTTTTGGCTCATTTGTTGCGGATTTTCTGCCTTTGTATGTGCCAAGAAAACAATCCCTTCCCGCCATTCTCCCCGTGGCCAGGTCATGTGATTCCGGTGCCATGGCATGGGCCTGGTCATGTGATTCCGGTGCCATGGCATGGGTCAGGTCATGTGATTCCGGTGCCATGGCATGGGTCAGGTCATGTGATTCCGGTGCCATGGGTCAGGTCATGTGATTCCGGTGCCATGGCATGGGTCAGGTCATGTGATTCCGGTGCCATGGCATGGGTCAGGTCATGTGATTCCGGTGCCATGGCATGGGTCAGGTCATGTGATTCCGGTGCCATGGGTCAGGTCATGTGATTCCGGTGCCATGGCATGGGTCAGGTCATGTGATTCCGGTGCCATGGCATGGGTCAGGTCATGTGATTCCGGTGCCATGGCATGGGTCAGGTCATGTGATTCCGGTGCCATGGCATGGGTCAAGTCATGTGATTCCGGTGCCATGGCATGGGTCAGGTCATGTGATTCTGGTGCCATGGCATGGGTCAGGTCATGTGATTCTGGTGCCATGGCATGGGTCAGGTCATGTGATTCTGGTGCCATGGCATGGGTCAGGTCATGTGATTCTGGTGCCATGGCATGGGTCAGGTCATGTGATTCTGGTGCCATGGCATGGGTCAGGTCATGTGATTCTGGTGCCATGGCATGGGTCAGGTCATGTGATTCTGGTGCCATGGCATGGGTCAGGTCATGTGATTCTGGTGCCATGGCATGGGTCAGGTCATGTGATTCTGGTGCCATGGCATGGGTCAGGTCATGTGATTCTGGTGCCATGGCATGGGTCAGGTCATGTGATTCTGGTGCCATGGCATGGGTCAGGTCATGTGATTCTGGTGCCATGGCATGGGTCAGGTCATGTGATTCTGGTGCCATGGCATGGGTCAGGTCATGTGATTCTGGTGCCATGGCATGGGTCAGGTCATGTGATTCTGGTGCCATGGCATGGGTCAGGTCATGTGATTCTGGTGCCATGGCATGGGTCAGGTCATGTGATTCTGGTGCCATGGCATGGGTCAGGTCATGTGATTCTGGTGCCATGGCATGGGTCAGGTCATGTGATTCTGGTGCCATGGCATGGGTCAGGTCATGTGATTCTGGTGCCATGGCATGGGTCAGGTCATGTGATTCTGGTGCCATGGCATGGGTCAGGTCATGTGATTCTGGTGCCATGGCATGGGTCAGGTCATGTGATTCTGGTGCCATGGCATGGGTCAGGTCATGTGATTCTGGTGCCATGGCATGGGTCAGGTCATGTGATTCTGGTGCCATGGCATGGGTCAGGTCATGTGATTCTGGTGCCATGGCATGGGTCAGGTCATGTGATTCTGGTGCCATGGCATGGGTCAGGTCATGTGATTCTGGTGCCATGGCATGGGTCAGGTCATGTGATTCTGGTGCCATGGCATGGGTCAGGTCATGTGATTCTGGTGCCATGGCATGGGTCAGGTCATGTGATTCTGGTGCCATGGCATGGGTCAGGTCATGTGATTCTGGTGCCATGGCATGGGTCAGGTCATGTGATTCTGGTGCCATGGCATGGGTCAGGTCATGTGATTCTGGTGCCATGGCATGGGTCAGGTCATGTGATTCTGGTGCCATGGCATGGGTCAGGTCATGTGATTCTGGTGCCATGGCATGGGTCAGGTCATGTGATTCTGGTGCCATGGCATGGGTCAGGTCATGTGATTCTGGTGCCATGGCATGGGTCAGGTCATGTGATTCTGGTGCCATGGCATGGGTCAGGTCATGTGATTCTGGTGCCATGGCATGGGTCAGGTCATGTGATTCTGGTGCCATGGCATGGGTCAGGTCATGTGATTCTGGTGCCATGGCATGGGTCAGGTCATGTGATTCTGGTGCCATGGCATGGGTCAGGTCATGTGATTCTGGTGCCATGGCATGGGTCAGGTCATGTGATTCTGGTGCCATGGCATGGGTCAGGTCATGTGATTCTGGTGCCATGGCATGGGTCAGGTCATGTGATTCTGGTGCCATGGCATGGGTCAGGTCATGTGATTCTGGTGCCATGGCATGGGTCAGGTCATGTGATTCTGGTGCCATGGCATGGGTCAGGTCATGTGATTCTGGTGCCATGGCATGGGTCAGGTCATGTGATTCTGGTGCCATGGCATGGGTCAGGTCATGTGATTCTGGTGCCATGGCATGGGTCAGGTCATGTGATTCTGGTGCCATGGCATGGGTCAGGTCATGTGATTCTGGTGCCATGGCATGGGTCAGGTCATGTGATTCTGGTGCCATGGCATGGGTCAGGTCATGTGATTCCGGTGCCATGGCATGGGTAAGGTCATGTGATTCCGGTGCATGGCATGGGTCGGGCAGCATGCTGGGTACAGACAGGAAGACTTGTGCGGGTCACCCTCTGTCATGTGACCTGGGATGGTTCTGTCACATGGGACGGGGAAAGTTCTGGAACCTGCTACAAAGTATCCGGCGTACGTTCTCCGGGACGCTGCGGTGTGCACGGGGGCCACCATAGGGATGAATGGGACTCCTCGTCCTGGGTGTGAGCCGGGGGGCTGGTTTCTTAAAGGGCCGGCAGGGAGAAGGGTAAGGAAATCAACGAAAGAGAATTGTCATTTTTTTTTTTATCGTGACCTTTAAATGACATTTCGTAGATTTTCGGGGGTTCACATTTTTATTCCCGGCGTTTGTTCCGACGCGTCTCACATTTTATATATAATCACGGCGCGGCAAATGAAGACATTCGATGTGGAGATTTGTAGATGGTAAATATGG